AATTGTTTAATAGTGTTAAATACAAACAATCATAAAAAAACAATAATATTATACTACTAATAATAATATAATTTTAAAATATCATTAAATTAATAGTAATAATAATAATAATGAAAATTTAAATAATTATCATATAATTATTGTGAGGATATTAAATGATTTGTTTTGCTTTTTATAAAGAGTGTATATTTTTTATAAATAAAAATGAAATTTGTTTTCAGCAATTAAAAAGAAAATAAAAAACAAATCAAAAAAAATATTATAATTAATTTTTATAATTAAATATTAATAAATCATATGAAACATTAAATTCAACAAAAACAAAATGTTAATAAATAATTAATTAATAATAACACAATTACAGTACCAGTGTCATTTATATACATTATATGGTATAATTTTTTACACAAAAAACATTTAAACATTTAAAAACAAAAAGAATTAATTATTTAGCTATTATTATTATTCCAATATAATAATTAATAATTAAACTAGACTATTATTGTTATTAATTTTGTAACTGGTACAATTTTGTTATTACAAATTATTATTATTTCTATCATAGAGATAAAGTATAATAAATAAATTAATAAATTATTAACAATATTATTGATTATATTATTATATCATAAAAATGAGAAAAATTTTTTTTATTACACTATTATTATTATAACATCAGTAACTTTATTGTAATTTTTATTTTGATCAGTAAAATATAAAATTTTGTCTATTTTTTTAAAAAACAAAAAAATAATAAACTACTGTCAATAATAATAATTTATTTAATAACTACTTATTATAAACTATATGTTTGTTTGTTTTTAAATAACGTAATTAATTGTGACATTTATATTTATTATGATTTAAAAAAAAATATTAGTAGATTTAATTACATTTAATAGTTATTATAAATATTTATAAATATTAATTATTAACTAAATTTAGTGTATATTTATTTTATGTTAACAACAAATTATAATTAATAATAATAATAATAATAATAATATGTTTCAGTAGTAATAAAATTTTTATGAATACATAGTAATTACTAATTATTTTTTTATGTAAGTTAATATTTTTATTTATTTTTTGGTGTATTTTATTAATAGTTATTGTTTTTTAATTTTAAATTTTCCCAAAACAATAGTAACACAATTAACAACAACAACAAGTTTAGTATCCAATTATATGTTACTAATAATAATAATACATTAGTTATATTAATAAAAAAAATATTGTAACTATTTTTTCAACGTTTAGTTATAAGTTATGATATTTGATAGTCAGGTAAGTGTGTAATACATGCTATATGCTGTAATTGTATTTAAGATAATAATAATAAAAATTGAAACAAAAAACATTGGATTATTAAAAATTACTAATCATTTGTTGTTTTTTTGTACAATATTATTATAATTATTATTTAGTATAATTTTAGTTAAATAAAATTAGTTAGAAATAAATTATAATTATTAAACAATAAAATATTATAATAAAATTGATGATTATATTCTTGTATTATATATTAGTATTTTTTTAAAAAATTGTGATTAATTAATTAAAACATTAATTTCTAAACTGTATGTGTATTATTATAAATTAAAAAAATATATATTAATCTTATTTATGAAAAATTTTTATTTTTTTTTTTAATTTACAAACTGTAAGTTATTTTGTGTTTATTTTAAGCCATTTTTACTATTTTTTCAAAATTTATTTTTAATTATTCTGTCCATAATTTGAACTAAAATAATTTTTTAAATTTAATGTTATTATATCAAAAAAGTAATATTATTTATATATATTACAGTTTGTAATGAAAATTTAAATACTGTTTAGTAAATTATTTAAATATATATATATATATAATATTTAATTAAATAACATTAGAAATCATAATATTTTTTAAAAAATAAATAAAAAAAAACTGTAATATTATTAATAAACTAATTTAATATTTTAACTAATTGTTTTAAAATAATTATTTGCTAGATTTAAAAGCGATAGTGATTATAATATGATAATTATTTTATTTATTTTTTTAATTAAAATTGTGTTTTTAAGTGGCCTATAATTAATTGATTATTGTTGATATTTTTAAAATATATACAAATACAAATATATTTAACAAAAAAATTAACAGTTATTTAGATAATTAAAAAAAAGTAAAACTATAATATTTTGGCTTCACTTACAATATTTATTAAATACTTATCAAAAAATAAAATTTTTATAATTAATGTATTATTAGTTTGTTTAGTTCACATAAAATTTATATTTTAAAAAATTTTTAATTATTATTTATTGTAAAAATAATTATTAAATTATTATTTTATATTATTTTTAAATATTATTTTATAATATGATTTGATATTAATTGTTAGTAAAGGTTTGTTTGTATTGTTTGATTGGACAGACAGACAGACACACAGATATGTTATATACGGACAGTCCTATGACTGACCACTGGGCGGGTGACCGATACGACTGTCCAAACAGATTGACTGATGAAACCGACTGATGAAAATTATATATAAATTATATATAAATTATTTTTAATTAATTTTTTATTTATTTATATAATCTAAATATTGTTTGTATATATATATACTAATAATTTATTTATTTATTTATTTGTTTTTAATAATTTTTTAATTATTTAGTTAATCTTAATCATCAAATGATAATTTTTTTTCATCCAATAATTTATTGATAAAATTATTAAATTAATTGTTGTTAATTATTAATAGGTAATTGTTATGATAAATAAATTTTTAAATAAATAAATAATTAAATTCAATTTATTCTAAATTTTTTATACAGTATAGTTGTATTTAAATATTAAATAAATTTTGTACATTATATATACATCTATTAATTAATTTTTTTAAAACTGTAATTTTTTAATAGACTAATAATTAATACAATTATATAAATTGCTTTAATTAATTAGTTTATTAAGTGATAAAAAACGTTATGTTGAATGTATGAGTGTTTTCACGTTCTCTCTCTCTCTCTCTCGGAGAGAGAGAGAGAGAGAGAGAAATACAGACATATATACAGAGAAACAGTAGATTCAATACAACCATTAGTTTGACAACCAGTTCATAGAAAATAGATTTTTTCAATTTTGTTCATTAATTCAGTTKATTTTTTTGAAATACAAATTTTATTTTTGTCTATTAGTATATAAGTGTATACATTGTTTTTATATATGTATATAAATAATAAATACTATAATTTTTATTTTGATATTTTTAAAAATAATTCAAATATTAAGTTTTTAAAATTTCGATCAAAAAAAAACTAACTAATAAATTAAATACAACAATAATTATGTTTACATAAAAATAATTATCCATAATATATATTATATAATATTATATATATATATAAGTATTTTATACTAAATAATTATAATTATTTTAATAATATATTATTGTTATTATAGTTTTGCGCCGATAATAATCGTATGGCCATTGAAGCGGTCATCACTTGCGGTTTGCAGTCAAAAGCATTTTCATTATATCTAAATAAAAAAATATATTTATTAATCAATCAATTTATTAGTTATTTATAATTAGTTTATAATAATAATAATTAGATATAATGTTTGACTAATTTGGATATAATCTGTAGTTAATATATCAAGTGTTCAGACAATTGATTCCCATTTCAAGTCATAATAACTCTCTCTCTCTCTCTGGTTGTGGACATCACTGGTCACTGATCTCTCTGTCAATGATTGTCTGCAAACAAAAAATAAAAATAAATAAAAATAAATTAATAATTATTTTTATCAAGGATAATTGTTAAATAGTTTAATATTGAATACCAATAAAAAAAAGTAAATAAAAAATCAGTAAATAAATAGCGTATATAACTAAATGTAGTCTAAATTTTTTGCAAACAACAAAATCAGTAAAATATTATAATTAAATGTGTTTTTAAAAAAAATTAAATTATGAGTTAATAGGCACTAACCTCATAAAACATTGTGTGTATGTGTTTAGTCTTAATAACAAACAAACAATTAGTTTGTTTTTATTTTTAAATTTAAATTAGTGTTAGATTTTAGAAATTAATAAAAATTTCCTCAAAATTAGCCTAACATTAGTAGTCAATATGTATGACAACAATAACAAAATAAAACATTTATTTCAACACATTTATGGACATCAATGGTCTCTCTGTGGATGATTGTCTGCAAACAAAAAAATACAAATTAATTAATTAATACTAATTATTATTATTAGAGATAATTGTTAAATAAATTAAATACCTTTATTTTAATACCAAAAAACAGTCAATCAATAAATATTGTATCACTTTATGCAAACACAACAACAAAAAATATCAGTAAATTTATAATAAAATGTGTTTCAAATTTAATTAAATGTTTTTTTTAACAAAAAATTATAGTAATAGTCAGTAGGAACTACCCCGTTATAGGTAAATGCACTACCAAGGCTATAGCTCCTCCCCTTTTGCTAGGCAACCAATGGGAGAGCAGCAATGGCKGACAATACATAAATTACGTCAAAAATACATAAATTACGTTAATAAATTAAGTTTTTACATAAATTACGTCAGTAAATTAAGTTTTTACATAAATTACGTCAGTAAAGTAGGTAATTACATAAATTACGTTAATAAATTACGTTAATAAAGTAGGTATTTACATAAATTACGTTTAAAATACGTTAATAAATTAGGTATTTAAATAAATTACGTCTATAAATTAAATATTTACATAAATTACGTCAATAAATTACACTTACATTTACCCGTTATCACGTGACGATAATTGTATAACTTAATAATAGTAGTCTAATCTTTATTTATATTATGGAAAATGGAATTAATTGATTACAAAGAGAAAGAATATGCCATTTTCAGAACAATAGAAAAAGTATTCAAGTATAAAGTATTAGATTATACAGCTGTTTATATGTTTGATAGAATAATTAAAAAAGAACTAAATAAATATGATACTGAAGACATCTTTACTCTCCAATTTACCAATACACCATATAGCATTCCATTTTATTATCCGCCTAAACGAATTGCAACCTACTCATATGAAGATATATGCAATAGTGTCTACGAAAAGGATCACGACTTTAACTTTTATACTGATGATATAATTATAATGACGTTGCGAATAACTAAACATCCTACAGCGCAAGTCAAGTAAAAAGCAATAAAATCAATATAAGAGAGGTGATTAATGACCTCCGGTCAAATAATGGATTATAAACATATACAATTTAAACATCCATGTAATTGTCTTATAATAGGACAAACAGGTACAGGTAAAACAGTTTTTATTAGGCGAATATTAAAAAATTATGAGACTCAATTTTATAATTTAAATAAAAAGACTATTAATGTACTGTGGGCATATGGTCAATGGCAACCATTAATAGATGTAGATTTAGCAGATAACATTAATATTGTCTATGTAAAAGGGCTACCTACCGAAGATTTAATTATGAAATCAAAGCCTGACATAGTAATTATAGACGATCTTATGAATGCTATACATAAAGAGCCAAAGTTTGAAGACATATTTACTAGAATGTCACATCATTTAAATTTTACTGTATTTTTTATAATACAAAATGCCTTTTATCAGTCTAAATCTATGAGAACAATAAGTATTAACCAGCATTATATGATATTATTTAAAAATACTAGAGATAAAACCCAAATAATGATGTTAGCAAGACAAATGTATCCGAATAATGTAAAATATTTTATATATTCATATAATGATGCTACAAATGAGTCCTATGGATACTTAAAAGTAGACTTGACTACAGACACACCAGACAATTTAAGACTCACTTCTAAMTTAACACAATTGGAGTCTCCATGGCCTATTGGATATGTAGATAATAATAGTGCCTTAATAATAAAATAAAGTTAAAAATGGCAATTCAAAAAGCATACGAAAAATTAAAATTTATATCTACAATTAAAAATCCACAGTTACGCAGTAAATTATTATTATCTGTGGCAGATAACGATCTGTATAATGCCCTACATGAAATAGCTTTAAATTATAATAGAGGTAATATTAGTTTAAACAAGTATCAAAAATCACAAATTAGCAAATTCAAGTCAATTTTGAATAAATTAAGAAAAAAACCTAAAACATTTGCTATAAAAAGAAAACTAATTAAACAATCTGGTGGCTTTTTGCCTATATTAATACCTGCTGTAGCTGCAGTTTTAACTACACTTATAACAAATGGATAAAGTATATTTAATTCCTATGAAAGATATAACAAATTTATTGACACTTGTCTTAAAATTAGCTAAAAACAACATTTATGATGATAATTTAAAATTAAAAGAAACAAATGAAGATATTTCAGAGTATATATTATCATTATATATGCCTAAAGATTTACCTAATAAGGAAATATTTAACAAAATTATAGATAAAGTTAATAATAAAGAGATAAAACAGATATATACAAAAATTTCACCAGTTAAAACAAAGTTGAAAAAATTAAATTGGATATCAATTGATAACTAATGGAAAAAGTACTTACGGCTATTTATTATGATATTGGTAATCCAGCAAGTTATTCTACACATTTAAAGCTTTTTAATGCAGCTAAAGAGCATTTACCCAATTTGACTTTAAAACAAGTAAAAGAATGGTTAAGTAGTCAAATAACTTATACATTACATAAACCAGTTAGACGACATTTTGAACGTAATCCTATTATAGTTGATTGTGTAAATTACCAATGGGAAGCTGATTTGGTAGATATGCAAGAATTTAAAAATGTTAACAAAGGGTATAATTATATACTAACAGTTGTTGATGTCATGTCAAAATATGCATGGGCTAAACCATTAAAGAATAAAACAGGTAAAGAGCTAACCAAAGTATTTCATTCAATTACTACTGATAAAAARCCTTTTTATCTAAGAACAGATCAGGGAAAAGAATTTTTAAATAAAGATTTTAAAGCATTATTAAATAAAAAAAATATTCATAATTTTACAAGTAAAAATCATACTATAAAATGTGCTATTGTTGAAAGATTTAATAGAACACTAAAGGGTTACATGTATAAATACTTTACAGCTAAAGGTACACGTATTTGGTATAATATATTACCAGAATTATTAGAAAAATATAACAATACATATCATAAAACAATTAAAATGACTCCATTACAGGCAACAAGTACAAATTGTCAAGAATTATTTAAGACAATTTATGGTCATAATGATAGATATTCTATGAGTCAAAGTAAGTCAAAAATTCAAATAGACGATACTGTTAGAGTAGCTTATGAAAAGCARCCATTTGACAAATCTTATTATCCAAATTGGACAGATGTAATATCTAAAGTTGATAATATTAGAAAACAACCAATWAAACCTATATATAAAGTAGATGATAATACCTTATATCCAGAACAAGTACAAAAAGTAAAGGAAAATTTATTCAGAGTTGAAAAAATATTAAAGAAAAGAGTACATAAAGGAGTAAAACAATGCTTTATAAAGTGGTTGGGGTATTCAAATGAGTACAATTCATGGATAAATGAATCTGATATTCAACAGTTATAAATCAATAATAGTACCTAATTTACATAAAATCCTAAAAAATGGAAACACAATATTATATAACTTTACATTCAGGTAAGAAAATTAACAATTTTACAAAAGAATTATATAAAACAATAGAATTACAAGATCAATGGGAAGTAGGTTTAGCAGAAATTACATATGAAAGAACATGGCTTACATTACCTTATGATCAATATGTTGAAATTATATACCAAGACTTGAAAAAAGGTAAATATTTAGGTCAATCAGAAAAAATTATTATTAAAGCAGGTAATTACACAGCTGAAGAGTTGAGATGTGAAACTATTTTAGCATTTAATCAATTACAAACACAAGTAAACGGTAAAGTATATGTTAAAGGTATACCGGATAAAGAATATACAAAAAGTATAAATATAACAACAGAATCAAATAAATTGGTATTAAATTTTGGTTGGCTAGACAACCAATGTGTTTTAATATCAATGTTTTCAAAATTACTTGGTCAGTTATTAGGCTTTTCAAGAGAACGAATGCTAAAGTATGCTTACAATAATTTTAATAAATATAAAAATAATACAGTTTCGCAATTACTAATGAAAGAAGTTCCTCAATTAGTAGGTAAAGACGTAGATTTAGAGTATTATAAATATTTGGAATCATTTTATGTTTGTTCAAATATATGTCATAAAAATTATATAAATGGTGAGAATACTAATGTATTAAGAGAAGTATTTGTAGACAATAGTTTAAAATATAAGCCTATACATCAATTATACAATAGAATATATTATTATCCAGTAAGGTATAATGAATTTAATAAAATTACAGTACAAATTAAAAGTAAATATAATGGACAATTAATACCATTTTATACAGGGCAATTAAAAGTAGTGCTTCATTTTAAAAAAGTAAACAATATAGTAAATATAGTAACAGAACCAGAAGTAAAGCCTGCTAATCCGGATGTAGAAATACTTCCTAAGCCAGACCCAGAAACTCGGCAACCTCGAGAGCCATCAAATAATAAACCTGAAACTGAAAATGATAGACATCCGTTTGATGTAGATTATATTAAAATTGAAATTGAACAAGAGTTAATAATAGATGATGACGAAGATGATGATTAATTAAAAATGGACGACTTTTACATGACATTGCCTTCTAATGTAAAAAGTAATTTATTTTATAATACCTTAGCAAATTATAAAACAAAGTTAGTGTCGCCAATTAATTTGCAAGACAAATGGGAAGCTGGTATAAGTAGTATAAGTTATACTAAAAGCTGGATGAACATTCCAGAGAAACAATACATTTCTTTTGTTTATTTTCATAAAGGTGAACAGCATGTAAGACATCATGCTAGTATAAAAGCAGGTTTATATTTAACTATTGAAAGTTTAATTTATCAAATAAACCTTTCTATTGAAGAAGCTCAAAATACAGCCAATGAAGATTTAAATAAAAGAATAAGATATTACTATGAAAATCAAGATAAATTTACTAATGATGCTAAAAGTGCTAAACATGTTATAAATAGAAACAGAATGGCTTTTGCAAGAAGTTTTATTCTTACTCATACAAAAGATGAAATTAATGAATATGGTAGACAATTTAATAAACAATTGTTAGAAAATGCTAAAGAACTTAAAAAACAAATGGAAAATGAAAATACTGAAATAAAAACAAATATTGAAAATGTCAATGTAAGTTCGCATAAAGTTACTCAAAAAGATTTATTATATAAAAAACTCAAAGAAATACCTGTTAGCGATGTAAATACAAGTGCAATCGAGTTACCTAGATTTGGCTATGAAAATCATTTTAAGACTACCTTCATTCAGCTATCTAAATATAAAGATTTTCATGTATATCCTTTATTAACTCCTCAGTTGTATAGAATATTAGGTTTTGATCAATTAGCATATGAAAAAATAGTTGAGGAAAAATTAGATAAATTTCAAAGTAGTTTTGAAAAAGATCAAAATTACAAACCTGACCTTAAAAGTAACAAATTATATTCAATGGGTCCTTATGATTTGTATGCCAATTTTCATTCTTTATTCATTTATTGTAATATTATTAAGCCTAATTATGTTGGTGATACATTAACACAATTGTTAAGATTTGTAGAAATACCAACAAAAGCAAATTTTGGAGAACAAATAGTAATTACGTATCCAAATATTCAGTATTCTCCGGTCTTATATAATAATATAGATGATATTGAAATTGATATTAAAGATGATACTGGTGAAACAATACCTTTTACATTTGGACGCACTATATGTGTATTACATTTTAGAAAAATTAGAGAAAATTAATAATAGATATTATTATTGCTTATATATATAAAAAATAAACAAATGGGAGGATTTCTACCTTTTTTATTATTAGCAACAGGTTTGTATGCTGGTTACAAAGTTATAAAAAACAATATTAGTAAAACTGTACAAAAATTAAAGAAACAAAAACAAACTTGTCGTAGACGTCATAAATGCTAATTCAATATGGTAATGCCGCACCAGATCGCTCCAATAGATATTCAAACACAAATACAAACACTAGCTCAAACTCTAGCTCTAACTCTAGCTCTAACTCTAACTCTAGCTCTAGCAC